ATGGCATTCGAAAGCTAACTATACTAGCAGCTTGAACAAATAAAATGCCATTATTGCTCAAATAACATTATCATTTTCGAAAGTTTTCCGGAGACGAAAATGAATGAAAATTTAAGTCGTTTTCTGTTCGTTTCCCGCTAGGAAAATCGCAACTTTTTGAACGTGTTTGCGATACGTAAATGCACGAAAATTGTAGTCGTTTTCCGTTCATTTCCGGCTCTTTCATATGCGTATTTTTTAAAGTTAGCACTTTTTTAATTCTAAAATGTTTTCCTCTCATTGTATATATTTCCAAGTAAAAATAGTATGAAAACTTATTTAACACGGTTGTTTTCAGTGGTAAAAATAAAAAATTAAGTAAATTTAATTTCTTTAAGGAGCTAAGGTGCAAATTAATTTTTTTAGCTCTTTACATCAGCTCCGTTTCAGCCAAAATACTTTGCTTCTTAGCTCCTTGCTCCTTTGCTTCGCTCCGAAGCTTTGGTTTTTATTGAAAACAGCGATTTTACGTTAATTTGTATTTGTATTCCTGTGGCTTTTGCATTACATCATACTGTAAATTTACAGCTGGAAAATACAAAAAAAAAGTAAAATATTTTTCATTCCCCATAATACACTCAATAAAAAACTGCAATTTTATATTTTTATTTAAACGCTTGCGTATATTTACTCGTATGTACTATGTCTGTATCAATAATTTAGTTATGCTGTTTTATGCTCTCTTTGATGTGGTATGTACTTAACTATATTCAATTTTCAGCGACATATTCATTCGATTGCATTATGTAGAAAATGTTTGCTTAGTTTGTATTAGAATATTCACACATAAATTTAAGTTTGCAAATTAGATCTAAATTACACAGTATTTCCTTATGTATGTTTGTATGTATGTATGAGAGTTTACTTAATGCCTTGCAAAAAAGGGCTTCATAAAAACGGGACCATGTAAGAGTACATATACAAACGATGGAATAAATGTTTATAAACAAATTTACTACAATTCCTAGCCATTCGATCTTTTCGAAGACATGCCAAATGTACGATTAAATATTGGGGTGGCTGTAAAATGCCGCACTCGTTGATGTTTCAAAAAAAAAATGTTTTTTTTTCTGTTTGTTGAAACTTTAAAATTTTTTAAAATTAACAAT